AATTCAGTTTCATGATCCATTTTTTGATTGGCAGAAATAGAGTGCACTCATCCTGCTATTATGAAAGTGTAATTAAATAAACATTTTTCTAAAAAAATAATTATACAAGTGCCAAAGTTTATTGTTTATTCAAACGCAGGCGATTTACATGGATGGAATCGTCCCAAATTCTTATTTTATGTGAAATAATGAAAGCCACCTCTTATGCAGGTGGGTTCTATTTTGTTTTCCCTTGTTGAATACCTTACAATTGCGATTGAATCTGGCATATCTACGCTGCAAGTATTCAATGTGGCCCTGCTGTGATCGGTGGGATATAAAATTATACTTTCTTCTATTACACTCCCCAAAAAGTTTCATGTTGATTACTTCGGATCGGCACCGTTTAGAAATTCAAGAAATGTCGGATATTTTTTGGAAATGTCTAACACCTACACGTGTCCAAAAGTTCCAAGGTATTTTTCTTACAACACAATCGACCAATAATTCGGAAACCATTTTCGAAACATTCGAAATTTGAGAGTGTTGTTATTTCCTCTAAATACTTGCAACAGTCTTTGTTGCAGCAAGGAGTTGAACTTCTCCTTGTTTTGAAATTTGGAAATACAATCCCAACTCCTTTATGAAAAATAAACTTAATTCTTCTTTGCCGTCGGCTAGCCCAAATACCTGTATGTAAAAAAGTACCTCTTTCATCGATTTGCTTACTGTCGAGTTCTCCTCTTTACTCTCTGAAATTTAACCAAAAAACTGTTTGGCAGCCAGAGCTGGGAAGTAACTAAAATTTAAGTTAATTTCAAGTAACTAAGTTACCTGCAGTAACTAAGTTACCTGCAGTAACTAAGTTACTGTAACTTAGTTACTTTTGAAATAACACTAAAAGTAACTTGTAACCTCGCTTGTAACTTAGTTACTTTCTAAAAGTAACTTATAACTTTTCCATATTCAGAGGAACTTAGTTACTTATAAAGTAAGAACTTAGTTACCTACCGAAAAGTTACTTTTTATTTATATAAAATTATTCCTTGCAACTCGCCATTTGCCTTGTTAGTTGTAAACGTGAGACTGTTGTGCTTGTGAACGAAATACTAGGAATTTTTTTAGTAAGCTTAATACCATTTTTTCTGAAAATATTTTTACACGATTCCTACCCTAAATAGAAAAAATTGTTTGTTTCGATTACGTTACGGTTGCCAAATAGTTGGTTGCTGTTTGAAAAATCAACTGTGCTGTGCCCTCATACCTTTGATACAAATCATGAAAGAAATTTATGTGTATCTCACCACAAATTGTTGATTTTAAAATAAAAACTAAGTGGCCCAGGGTATTCCACAATTCGAAAGTATCTTTTTAAAAGAACTTTTTTAAAAGTAACTTAGTTACTAGTAACTGTAACTAAGTTACTTTTGTTTCTAAGTATCTAGTTACTCAAGTACCTTAAGTTACTTTTTGGAAAGTAACTATGGAAAGTAACTTAGTTACTTTATTTAGTTACTTTATCAAAGTAACTTTCCCAGCTCTGTTGGCAGCCAAGGATCAAAAGTTTTAAAGGCAAATTCTTTTCATTCTTTTGGGCTATAAGACGTGCTTGGTCTATTTCTGAAGATGAACTTAACAAAAATGGAGATTGGTGATATTGACTACATCATTCCACTGTAATTGGCGAAGATCAGCTGTACAGTCTAAATGATCAGCCTTTGTTAATGAAGTCCATTGTAATAAAGCTTCATCATGAGCCAGGTCATTTGATTTTTGTATGTAGAGAGGAAGAATAGCTGAAATTAACGCGTGCGTAAAATACCAAGATCCGAGAAAAGAAGAGAAGCACAGTGTAGTCGCATCTCTGATGCTAAGGCCTCCATATATGTATAACAGGGCGAGTTGTTTGTAATCAGGATTTTTGAGGCTGGAACGGTGGAATCGTATAGCTGCAAGTCGGGTTTCGAACGTCAACAAGGTCAGATGAGTCATTGTTAGGATTGAAAACGATAGTCGAGTTAAATAAAGGGACGAATTGGGTGGAAAATGACCCATTCGTGAAATAACTCTGCAGTTCGAGACTACGTTTTTCAATAAGTAGCTGAAGATTTTCCCTGATCATGGACTTGTGGTAGACTTGATCAATTTAACTCCAGGCGCAACTGATTCAAATTACCTTAAAACTTATGAGATGGAGATACAATCATCTTCAGCACAAAATAATTTCTTGGTTCTTCTAGAGACATCTGTCAGAATATAATGATAAAGCTCTCTTTAATACTATAGAGGTAGTTTATGCAAAGGGAAATCCAATGGCGAGGTACTAAATGGACCCATGAATTTGTCAGATTTATTTACTGAGATTTTAAAACGAATTATTCTTTATTCGAGTTCACAATTTCGCAAATATACAAGTCACATTTAATTATAAAAGAAAATTTTGAATTTTCCCTTCAGGAGGAACGTATGAATCAAAAGTTTACTTTAGAATTTCCTCTGAAACCCACCAACAATAATTTCTCTTTTCTACACTAATTCTGCAGGTTCCGTCGGCAAATCATATTCCTTGGTTTTCTTTAATGGAATTTTTCCTTGATCATAATTGGCTCAAACTTCGATGGTTGATTTTACTCACAAATTAGTTTAACCTCGCAACAATCCAACTTAAGAGTAGACTCATATACTACACCGCAGCACAAAACTAAAGTTTGGGGGTTGTTTTAGCTATATGGCACCATTGCTATTAAATTCAATTCCTACTGCATTTTTTTAATACCAATTTTAATCATTTTTGCCGAAAACTAGGGGAATTTGTAAATGAAACTAACTTGTAAGACGATTACAGTGTTTTTTACTTGATGTTAAAGGATTAGGTAATTGAAAAACGGCTTAGCCGAATTCATACCCTTTTGAGCTTTCTTACCTTTATTTAGTGTTTTTTGCATTCCTTTATTTCATTTTGTTAAATGTAAGGCTCAATAAACTTTATTATTATTATTATAAATGGGGGCGATTAAATTTAGTTTCTTGTTGAGATTTGTTAGCTACCATTCGGTTGTTTTATCCAACCTAACTACAACATTACGGGTATTTAATTTAAAACGTGGCGCTTGCGGAATAATGTTTTTATTGTAATTATTTACGTCACTCGTTTATCCCTCTCTGTTCACTTAGGAAGTTACGTTTATCGTTCCGTTCATTTGATAATTGTGATTCCTTTGGGCCTTAAAACGAAACTCTGCTCTTCACGCCTCGAATGAAAATTTCACACAAACACTATTCTTATAAGAACCGTAACAAATCCCTTCGAAAATGTAATACTCGAATCCCAATTTATTACTTGGACAAAACTGGTCGCTTCAGTAGCTGACACGCGAAGTTTATTTTTATCGATCGCCCCGAATCCCTCAAGAATCTCCTCCAAAACTAAATCCCCCTACTTTTTCAGCACGTGTACCACCTTATTTAATGTGTCAATGGGAATTATTCTCATCGTTAAAACTCGACAATAAGAGCTTGTCCTAATAAATTGGAATTTTGCTGAATCAGCTATATATAGTTGGGCTTGGGGAGTCGGAAGTTTTATTAAAATTTGACATATGCCACGGGATTTCGCTGGACGACATGACGATTTCTACTTGACTATAGGTATATCACAACAAATCAGCCATGTAAGGATAACTAACATTTTTCCCGATTTTTCTTTTAGCCAGCCCTCCGTCTATATCTTGAGTCAGATATTGATCATATTGCCGCGCCGTTGTAAATGAAACTAAATACCTCTCATAAAAACGTCTGAATCTGTCGCCTCAACATCCTGAAGTTATTAAAGGGCTACGGTTTTTGCAACTAAGCTAAGATTTCATCATACCAAGACCAATATCTGTGTGGAAATTAATTTAAAACAACGACATTCTTACAATTTGAAAATTCCCATTTTAAATATTTCTTCGAAGAGATCGAAGAATTTAAGTTCAACTAAAGCTACCTTCAGAAACTTCAAACATTTCCAAAGCACCAAAAAAAATTTCCTACTCAGGCCAAACTGTAAACGATTAAAATGTTTCTCCGACTGAGACAATTTCATTCGTTCGCCAACTATTTAATTAAATAAAGCTGCAGGAAAATAATTCCCCATAAATGAACCAAGAAAATGGCTTTAATTGTGAACAAATAATTGTAGTAGTGGTAGCTTTATAGTTTTCGCTGTGACTGATAGTAGTTATACCATTTAAGTAACATTTTAGCTTTGGTTTTTGGTAGATTTTGCGAAAGTGAAGATTACATAGGTATTAAATTTGTATGTTACATAAAGGCATTTAGTAATCTATAACTGGATGCATGTGTTACTCAACTACCCCAAACAGGCGCGTTGTAACAATACGCACATTGTTCAGAGTACCGTTTTGTATAAGTATAATCTTTTAATGATAGATATTAATGGCATTTTACAATTCTCATTTCCACTAGTAAAAGGTGTTGAAAGGATTACCTAGTTATAATCGCTTGATGGTATTTTTTAAATACTGGCACACTTTTGAGGCATAAATTCTTTTATTGTTTATTCATAAAAGTAAATATTTAAAGACAAACAGCAACAGAATTGTACTATAATGACACCGTATAGATCGGAAATAATCCCTAGGTTTGTCCAATAAAACACACGGCTGAAATTGGTCCAAAGTTTTGCAAATCGCTCTTATAAATTGGTAGTTCAATTCGCTGAGCTAATGGAATGAAATGTTTTCTAAAGGAAATCGGTTTTTTTTACAATTTTCGGCCACAAATTTCAAACGCGACTTCCTCAACCTTTTTCGACATAAGTAAAAGTGGGTTAAGATGTTTTTTGACCGATTTTCATTCGGAATTAGTCACATGCAGTGTAATGCAACCTGTCAATGCCACTTGGTAATGTTTTTGTATCAGTAGATCGCCTTGACTAAATAATCTATAATACATTGACCCGAATTTGCTCAACTATGAAAGATGGAATTCTGAACTAACGCTCGATTTCTTTCCAGATCCCAGAGTGGACGGATGGGCGTTAATGTCGAGTCCAGTACCAACATTAGCAATATGTTTATTTTACGTATATTTTTCCAAAGTAATGGGACCAAAATTAATGGAAAACAGAAAACCATTCGACCTTAGGCAAATTTTAATTATATATAATTTTATACAAACTATATTTAGTGCCTGGATTTTTTATGAGGTAGGTAATTTCGATGGCCGCCTCTAACATAATTCACTTATACAAATCTTTCAGTACCTGATGAGCGGTTGGTGGGGAAGCTATAGTTTTAGGTGCCAACCTGTAGATTATTCGTCAAACCCCATGGCATTGAGGGTAAGTTATCAACGGGAGTCCATTAAAAGCTAACCTGTCCCCTTTCAGATGGCAAACGCATGTTGGTGGTACTACTTCTCGAAATTTACGGAATTTTTGGATACTCTATTTTTCATTTTGAGGAAAAAGTTTAGTCACGTATCAACGCTTCATGTCATTCACCACGGATGCATGCCATTCTCCGTATGGATGGGCGTTAAATTTGCTGCAGGTATGTAAAAGTCGGTGCGCAATTAACTGATAGCGATGGTCGCAATTATTGCAGGTGGGCATAGCACTTTTTTTGCGCTACTTAACACATTTGTTCATGTAGTAATGTATTTTTACTATATGCTCTCGGCCATGGGACCCCAGTACCAGAAATACATTTGGTGGAAGAAGTATCTCACGACATTCCAAATGGTAATACCTTCCACACTCGAGCACGTCAATTTAACAATTCATTCTAGGTACAATTTGTTTTAATATTCACACATCAATTTCAACTGTTATTTACGGATTGCGATTACCCCAAAGGCTTTATGGTTTGGATCGGTTTCCATGGAGTCATGTTCCTGTTTTTGTTCTCCGACTTTTACAAAGTCAAATATACGTCGGGCAAAAAGGCTGTGCAAAATAACAACACCGGAGCCTGCATGGTAAGTGCACCTTTGGAGAAACATTCGATACAAGGTTGGCTGTTTAGGTTGTCGAAGACGAAGTACATACGAATGGAAAAGTGAGCAACGGTACTATGGGTGAAACATTAACAAGCAGCTACCTTGAAAGTGAACTGTCCAGTACTTATAAACCTTGCTATTCCAATGGAATCAACAATGGATTTGTTAGTTATCAACGGAACGGCAAAAAAATAGATTAAATTTGAGTTACGAGGTGCGCGTGTTGCGATCAATTGTGTTTTTTTCCAGCAACTTGTTTTTGTTCCCATCAGTCCTGCTTTTCATTGTATATAATCTAGCATTTTATGCTCAGGGTAAAATTTTTATGAGTTCACTGTAAATGCTCGGCTTACTTAATTTTTGAGCCTTCGTGAGGTGCCAAAGTCCCATATTTTGTTCTCTCACATTTCTCTTTCATTTGGCTTGTTTAAAAAATAAAAATGCCACGAGTGCCTATGAAACAATTTACTGCTCCACCTAAGTTTCTAGATAAAATTTTGTTATATTATTCATTAGCGAGATAGGGAAGTACTTATGATTCTGCAGGCATTGACCAATTTTTAGTTAAAAGTAAGAAAAGTGGCAAAATTTATAATAGTATTTCGTTTATTCGCACTCAAACTGATTGTAAATTAAATACGTATAGAGTTGTACAAAACGCAACATTTTTTATATACAACACAGAAAATCATACTGTACTATAACATTCAATCTTTCATTTTGTAAATCACCTATGGATTATTTTGTCTTCAGTTTTAGTAGGTTAGCGCTTATTGTGGCGTTAAAAAGCTTTTGTTTATATTTATTACGTAGATTAAATATGTTGATGGCAACGGATACCTATCTATAATAGTATTTTTTTGTAAATAAACTAAATAAATTGAAATAATTGTGATCTTTTCTTAGGGGTGTTGAGCTTGATCTGGGTTCGTACTGGGAAATGTGAGGTCAGTGTTTTCCTAGGGTATATGTTAATAAAACCTTTCTACTACTGTGCTATTCCCTTGATGTTACCTGTAGCCGGCGCTGTGCAATGGGGTTATAGGGTACAGACCAACTTCTAAGGAGAATAGGAGTTCTGTGTTTGACATTTTGGGAAACGGTTTACTGTTGACTCACAAACACTACCTCCCAAATATACTCCTCATCGGGTAACATTCACCTCTAACAAATTCAGTCCATCCAATATTCGTAGCTCAAGAATGTTTGCATGCAGGTATAATAATCTCTCTCACAGAAACAACCCTACGGAATGTCTGAGAACCTTTTATAAAGACAATCGTAAGAAAAAAATTGGAATATGTTGCAGGTAAAAAACCAATTTCGAAAAAAAATTCAAGGGGCTGTAACTTTGTTCTAGTAACCCAATCTTAAAACTGTTTGAAATTATGGATTCTATGAGCCAAATTCTATAAGAAAATGCTTTTTCCCGGGGTGATCTGAGACAATTTTTTTTCGGGCCTCAAAAAAAGACAGTGTATAACCTTCCTTTTTTACCAAAAATCGACCACCAAAATTTCTCGGGAAAACACTTTTAAGTCTTATTTATTTTGGTGCGTAGAATCCAAAACAATTCGTACTTTTTCGATCAGACTTCTCAATCAAAAGTTATAGACTAGAAACCAATTTCGAAAAAAAATTCAAAGGGCTGTAACTTTTGAACTAGTAGCCCAATCTTGGAACTGTTTGAAATTATGGATTCTACAGGCCACATTCTATAAGAAAAATTTTTTTCCGGGTCGATCTGAGACAATTTTTTTTGAGGGCTTCAAAAAAAGGCAGTGTATAACCTTCCTTTTTTACCAAAAATCGACTGCACCAAAATTTCTCGGGAAAACACTTTTTCGTATTAATTTTGGTGCGTAGAATCCAAAACAATTCGTACTTTTTTGATCAGACTTCTCAATCAAAAGTTGTAGACTAGAAACCAATTTCGAAAAAAAATTCAAAGGGCTGTAACTTTTGAACTAGTAGCCCAATCTAGGAACTGTTTGAAATTATGGATTCTACAGGCCACATTCTATAAGAAAATTTTTTTTCCGGGTCGATCTGAGCCAATTTTTTTTTCGGGCCTCAAAAAAAGGCAGTGTATAACCTTCCTTTTTTACCAAAAATCGACTACACCAAAATTTCTCGGGAAAACACTTTTTCTAATTAATTTTGGTGCGTAGAATCCAAAACAATTCGTACTTTTTCGATCAGACTTCTCAATCAAAAGTTATAGACTAGAAACAAATTTCGAAAAAAAATTCAAAGGGCTGTAACTTTTGAACTAGTAGCCCAATCTTGGAACTGTTTGAAATTATGGATTCTACAGGCCACATTCTATAAGAAAATTTTTTTCCGGGTCGATCTGAAACAATTTTTTTTTCGGGCCTCAAAAAAAGGCAGTGTATAACCTTCCTTTTTTACCAAAAATCGACTGCACCAAAATTTCTCGGGAAAACACTTTTTTTTATTAATTTTGGTGCGTAGAATCCAAAACAATTCGTACTTTTTCGATCAGACTTCTCAATAAAAAGTTATAGACTAGAAAAGAAACCAATTTCGAAAGAAAATTCAAAGGGCTGTAACTTTTGAGCTAGTAGCCCAATCTTGGAACTGTTTGAAATTATGGATTCTACAGGCCACATTCTATAAGAAAATTTTTTTTCCGGGTCGATCTGAGACAATTTTTTTGCGGGCCTCAAAAAAAGGCAGTGTATAACCTTCCTTTTTTACCAAAAATCGACCACACCAAAATTTCTCGGGAAAACACTTTTTCTTATTAATTTTGGTGCGTAGAATCCAAAACAATTCGTACTTTTTTGATTAGACTTCTCAATCAAAAGTTATAGACTAGAAACCAATTTCGAAAGAAAATTCAAAGGGCTGTAACTTTTGAACTAGTAGCCCAATCTTGGAACTGCTTGAAATTATGGATTCTACAGGCCACATTCTATAAGAAAATTTTTTTTCCGGGTCGATCTGAGACATTTTTTTTTCGGGCCTCAAAAAAAGGCAGTGTATAACCTTCCTTTTTTACCAAAAATCGACTGCACCAAAATTTCTCGGGAAAACAGTTTTTCTTATTAATTTTGGTGCGTAGAATCCAAAACAATTCGTACTTTTTCGATCAGACTCCTCAATCAAAAGTTATGGACTAGAAACCAATTTCGAAAGAAAATTCAAAGGGCTTTAACTTTTGATCTAGTAGGCCAAAATCTATAAGAAAATGTTTTTTCCGGGTCGATTTCAAACAATTCATTTTTCTGATTTGTATTTATGGAGCCATATTTGTCCTAGTTATAATTGGAGATACGAGGGCGGATGATGTTACCACGTCTTCTTCAGGCTTGCTGCCGAGAGAGTACCTGAAGGTGGGAATTAGCGAATCTACGACTTCGGTTGTGGTGTTGTTACGGTGTCCGATGGTGCCGGCGAGGTCCTCTCGGATGAAATTGTGTGTGGGCCCCGAATCAAGTAGAGTGTACTTCTAAACCAAAGGTGTTGGCCCGCAGCGGTTTAATTGGATTGTTGACCGCTGGCCCGTTTCCCTGGTGGACGAGACGTACTGCATAAAAAAACATATTGAATGCCACGAGTCACGAAAATCGGAATTTCACCAATATCTGAATTCCTATTGCTGTTAGCACAGATCTACACACCTTATGCATTTTTTGGGAAACAAATTTAGGTATACTTAAAAGCGCCCTCTATTGCGGAGCAGTATAAACATGTATCGTTTAAAACTGTAATATGACGCTTATGGATTTATGCGTTAGATGTCGCTGAAACAAAATTAAAGCGCTAAAGTTTGCACAATTCGAATTCCTTAATATTCGTATTATTACAGTGGTATGATATGATAGGAGGTACGTTGAGCCATAATTGTTTAATTTAACACTGAAGCTACTCATTCGTCGTAAGGAAGTTATTAAAAGCGGGTCCCTGTGGTCACAGATACACACGAACATAGGGCAGGTTCTTAAAGAATCGTGAAGGTTTTTTGAAGTTGGCGGACACTATTTGCGGCTTTAAATGTCTTGACAAATTGCTAACCGCAAAGGCATACTTACAAACTATGTATATCTCTGCCATCATTAACGTTACACTCTTTACCACGCCGATAAGATATAAGATAGGGAGGTTATTTTCGAAAAGTTGATAGTTTTCGAGTTGTAAGCACAAAACTGCTAAAAAAATATCTTATTCAACTTTTTTTGTATTTTTTTCAATGTTGCGTCATGAAATTTTGTTAGCAAACCTCAGATTCGGATTCAGCACCCCAAAAAACATATAGAATCAAAGAAATCAAAACTACCCCACAACCTTCCTGGTAAAATACAATTAAACTGGATTATATGCACACTTTACCGCTTTAAATTTTTTGCAGCGACATCTAATGCGTAAATCCATAAGCGTCATATTACAGTTTTAAACGGTACATGATTATACTGCTCCGCAATAGAGGGCGCTTTTAAGTATACCTAAATTTGTTTCCCAAAAAATGTATAAGGTTAGCAATCTGTGTATGTGTAGATCTGTGCTGTTAGTAAGATTATTATGAAAATTACTTATCGCTCAATTTTTGCCATGTTTTTAAATGCTGGCTCGACAGTACATAACAGTCCCTTTTTTTCCCTATTATGATATAGGTATATGGTATTCAGAACACTTGTGTATCCTAATTAGGTATAGAATAAATATTTCAGTTTAAAACATGTACCTATATCTATAATATCAAAATGACACACTTTCCTAAACTAAAACCTCAACACTTTTCTCGTCAGATTTTTTCAATCCAAATTTAGGTTCCCTATTATATTTAGCAGGCCTGCAGTTACACTACTATTGCCCCCCAAACATTCAGATAGCCTGTTGAGGGCCCAGAACTAGAGGGATAATAAATAAAAATAAAATAAATAAATATTTGTAAAAATAGCCAAAATAGCATACTTCAAAAACACAGTATTAAACACCCCTAAAAATTACCATACACGCGTTTTTTACCGAGTTGTATTCACTATATACTTAAAGTATAATAAATCAAGAAAATGTTCTATAGAATTTTACGATAATGGGCATACTATTTACACAACTTATATACCGATTAAATTGTAAAAATATTATATCTACCCCAGACACGCTCAATAAAGACGTTACAGTGCTGATACCTACCTACAATGCATTATTTTCATTTTCTGTTTCTAGGTAACGTACGTGTACTATATGTTTATTTGTTCATCAAGTGTAAGTACATAAATTGATTTGGCCTATTTTGTTCAGTCGCTTGTATGCCACCGCTCACGGTGTAATCACAATGGCCTGGGCGTCTGAAGCTATACCAGAATATTTCCAAGACTATTTAGGCGAACCAGGTAAACTAATTGCGCGAAATCGAAACGCTTTTAAATACGTTTTGTAGATGAACGCGTGAGGGATTGGTTTTTAGTTAACTCTCCTTTGAATTTGATTATCATTTACGTTGTGTATTTCTCATTCATTCTCTTCGGGTTGTACTTTATGAGCAAACGGAAACCCTTTGAACTAAGAGGCTGTCTCGTGGTCTACAATTGCATACAGATCGCCATCGCGAGTTATATCTTCGAGGAAATTGTATCCAACGCAATTTTGGCTAAGTATAAGTTAATTTGTACGCCGTTGGATACCAGCTATAACAGAACGGCGTTGAGGGTAAGGATAAGAATTGGTGAACATTCTGAGTGCGTTTTCATTTTCAGATCGCGAAAACGTTTTGGTTGTTTTACATCTCCAAAATCGTCGACCTGTTTGATACAGTAAGTGTTCAGTTCTAATGTCAGTGTGAGTACCAGTGCGACTTACAGGTATTCTTCGTGTTGCGAAAAAAGAACCAGCAGCTCTCGTTTTTGCACGTTTATCATCATTCAACAATGATTTTTAATTGGTACTTAGGTGTTTTGTATACACCAGGTGGCCAAGGTTTGTGCTACACACTGTCGGGAAGTGATCATTTTAAAAAGTTTCTTTTTCAGCAACTCTGAGTGTCGCTATAAATTCCTTCGTGCACATTATAATGTATACTTATTACTTACTTTCATCATTTGGGCCGAGAGTTCAAAAATATTTGTGGTGGAAGAAGTATTTAACACAGCTACAGTTGGTAGGTATTCGCTATAATCATGTCCTTGCATTGTTAGCTCTTATTACCGATAAGTTTTTTTATTAATCACACAAGAAAAAGTTAGAATTTGGCAATGTTTCTAATGTCAAGAAAGCAGGATGCATGGACAAGAGAGTAATCTCTGTTATTGCTTGCAGTTCCAATTCATCATAATTCTACTTCATCTCGTAATCGGCTCAATAAACGGATGCCAAAAACCGATCTGGCTGGTGTACTTTTCATTCCTGTACTTGTGGAGTATGGTTTTCTTATTCTTAAATTTTTACGCTACCACGTACGACAATGAGCGGCAAATGTACTTAAAAGCGATTAAAGAGAAACAGAGGAAACAAAATTAAATTAATACTGTTTGTTGATGTTTTTTTATAGTGTGATATTAAAAACAATTCTTTTGTGATCACAGTTCATTCACCCCTAGGAACTACATACCTACTTAATGCCGATGGAACAATTTGTTACCAAACTACCGCTTCCTACAACCGTCTTTGCACATTGGCTCTGAGAATATTTTCCACCGAAAAATTTCACCCCTGCCTTTTGATGCAGGAAGGTTAATAAAATAAAGAAATAAGAAAATCAATTAACAGTTCTTTAAATCGAAATATATCCTTTTAAGGTACCTAGACTATGAAAGTGATCGTGTGCTGGTAAGCAGGTAATACCTATTTTTCGATTTAGAGCGCAATTTAGAAGTTTTTTTTATTGATTCATTAAATAAACAAAGTACTGCTTCAAATGTAGGCACATATAAAGGTATAATATATGTAGGTACACATTTCAAATTATGTAGTACATACTCTATTACTTTCTCCAGTATATAGTAAATTCCCAGGGTCTTTATAGTATAGTATAAAGACCCTGGTAAATTCCGACTGCATTACAAATCTTGCTTTTTTTGCTTGGACTATTTGTCATTGAACCAGTCACATGGTAATTTATTTAACATTATTTAACAGAATGATATATGGGATTGGTAATTCGTTATAAAGTCTCATTTGCTCATTAATAAATTGTTATTAGCTAACCCGTACAATAGGTACGCACCTATAGTCCAAAATTTATCGCAAATAGGCTCTATAAAAAAGCATGCAATTTGATGAGCATGTAACCAATATTATGCGGTCTGCTTCTGGTCCAAAGATAAGCTGTCGAGGTATTCCACATTCTTTTATGAAGTAAAATTTCATTATTTAGACACATGGCATTAAGTACCTACTATTGGATAAATTGTGTCTTGTAAATATGACTTTTAGAACTTGCATATTGATTTTTCAAAACAATTTAAACGGTGCCAGATGGTTACTTTTCAAAATATATGGTACTCATTGCTTCTAGTATAGTAACTTGTCTTATTTACCTTGTTCAGTAGGTATATATGCCTAGATATTTGCAGACATCGGCATATTACGGCGTAAACGTAGACAATGTAAGGATATTTGAGGTGTCGTTGACTATACGATGACGGTAGGTACGTATAGTATGAATCGCGCTTTAATTGTCAATTAATTGTAAACAAATAAATCACGTAATTAAACTTACGTTACAGTATTGTAACTAGAAGGCTTAACAACCCTTTCAAACAAAGTGCCACACGACTTCCTTTTTAATTTAAAATTTTGGAAGGAGGGAAGATTTGCCCCACGAGCCGAAGGCGAATGCTCAAATCCGCGGAGTGAAAAAAACATACTTTACTCACGAATTGCATACAACACTTTTTTCACGTTCGTACCCAAAAAAATTAGAGCATAAGATTAACAAACACTGGGTTTTATTTAACTATTTTTATCCTTCATGCTGGTACTCTAAACTCTAATGAAAGGTCTCAAGGAAAGGAATTAATTTCTACCAGCCATAGCCCTCCTCCTCGACCTCTTATCGTGATTTCTGTTGCGCTTTATCTGCACAAGAGTTGTGCACAATTTATACTGGTTTCACGCTACTAGCGGACGAAACAAACGCATCCTTTATGAACGCAAATTGATGGAAAATATTGTACTTTATTTTACGAACGTGAAAAAGTCTTTTTGTAGTTGATCTCAGAGCGGTTGTTTTTCCGAAAACCCAAGAGCCAGTGCTCAATGACGTTTAAGGGTCAGAAACGCCCTAAGCCATAACCGATTTTGCGCCCCATATCAGGAAAACTAATTTTTTAATACAGAATCAATAATAAACCGCAACTAATTATTAAGACAAAATAAAATAAAGTCGGTACATTTACATAGAAAACAAAACATATACCTATACATTGTATTTATGTAAAGCGTAGGCAACGGATGTAATTAGAAAAATATGAGGGGACGAGATAAAGGGTCAAAAATTGTCTTTTTGATGGTTTAAAACTCTCATACCCTGAGGCCAGTGGTGCTTTGTTAGGAACCAGAAACATTTTTCGTCTCTTACACCACTCGGATTTTTTTTCTTTTAGGGGTGTCCAAAAAGTAGAGTGTGAAATAAATCAAAAAACGATAAATGATTTGAAGAACCACCAATATCACTAGGGATATGCTTGAAAGGGTTCAAACGTCCAATTATGATCATGTGGGTCGAAATCAAGAAAGGTCGACAATTTATTATAAACATCATAATAAAAAGGTAGTTTGGTAGTCTTAAAATAACTAAGATATTAGGTTTTGCTTTTGGTAATGTGTTAATATAGGTGAAAATCGATCTTCTAAAAAAACTCTAAAGTGTATGAAAGTTTTAAACTATTTAAAAATGTAGTTGGTCTGACCCTTTATTTGTCCCAAAATGTTTTTCTTCACTTGTTTGAAACGTATAACTTCATGCCGGGACTTTTGGGTAATCCTAATGAAGTTGTGTATACATACTGTGGTTCATAAGTTTCAATTATCGGAGTGGGAAATGCCCCTAGAACTGAGGAACTTAAAAAAACTGCACCAGTTTATAGAAATATCCGGCTCGCTTGGATGGTGGATGCGGTGCTAGACTCCCCGGGCCGTTGAGAGGGTTGGGGGGCAAAAGGGGCAAGATGCCCCGAGCCCCAAGACCCGGAGGGCCCCTTCCGGCATCATTGTACTTCCAATATGATTGATACCGTTTTTTTTACCAAATAGGCTATTAACTTGACGCACTGACCGGTAGTACCTACCTACCTAGCTTAAAATTACAAAATGTCGAAGCAGAAACTCGACAAGGGTTGTATAAGTATAATTAAAAAAATGTAGTGTTGTCACCCTCTAAAAAAACCCCCATTGTATGAACGTTTTCAACGGTCTAAAACGTAGTTTACCCTGTGCATTAAATAGATAAGTATTACTTAAAAAAATGTTACCACATACGCATTACTGCTTTTTTACTACCCGCACGTTCGCAAGAGAGATATTGCATTGGGGTAAAAAATGACCCCACACTTTTTTGGCGGAAATACACCTTTTGAAGCACCAGGAATCCGAATCAAACGGAATATCAATGATGTCGATCGGTCTGTCGATCTGTCTGTCTCAGGGTCTGTCTGGACCTACTCTCATTTTCGGCTAAACTGTTGAACCGATTGGAAGAAAATTTTGTACACATACTCTTAGACATAAAAGGGGAGAATCCCCCATGCGCAGTTGTGCGGGTGGTATCTGTGTTATCCACAGAAATTTTTTTTATTTACATCTACAAATAAAGTTAGGTACCTATATTAGTAGTCAAGTAGGCACTTAAGTTGCCCCGGGTCGCGCTGTAGCCCTTGACGGCTCTGTATAGACTGCGTCTTCACTCTCGTCTCCCGCCCCAACGTGCATTACGTTGATCCTTTATGTGTATTTTTGATTTTTCAGATAAGGTTTTAATCGCTCCTTTTTTCGTACCTCTAAAATCTCAGCACTCTAAGCCCGGACTTTGTCGGCTTATAGGTTAATACGCCCCTGCCAAGAGCATCTATATTTTGCCTCTAAGCACATTAATTTGTAAAATGCATGACTTGATGCTCTTTGGGTACATTTCTATACTGGTACCCACCCAGGGCCGTATCTAGGCGGTGGCGAAATGGGCGCCCGCCAAGGGCGCAGGTACCAGGGAGGCGCAAAATTGACCAGGAAAAAATTTCATTTTACATTAGTGTATTAGGAAAAAAATTCAGGTTATTTAAACAAATGTTATTCCAGATTGTTAATACTGTACGTACTGTGACTGAATAGCTGGGTCGTTACAAAGTGATATGATATCACCTTCATCTCCGCCCTTCGCCCCTTTTACCTCCTTATGGTAATGTAATATCTCGTGTAATATATACAGCGTTGAGTGTGTCCAATATAAGAAGGAAAAGCAAGCAAGTCAAATGATATTTTAAAAATTTGTAAATTCGGATCAGTTCCGAAAAAAAACGAAATTAATCATATTCGGTTTTATTTTTTGCCGGCCCTGTTTGAAAAGATATCAAAAAACAAATGACACTTCCTCATAGGGACTTTTAAAGCTGTACAATTGGCGTCTTTGAGAAACCATCAACAACGATAATAAGATTCTTAATCACCTATATCATTTAAAGGAACCATCAATGAATTATTTTAATATTTTCTCAACGTTTACTACAGTAAAACGTTAAAATTTATTTATTATTTAGCTCAGAAAAATGGCTTGTTGCTAAATTTTTAACATTTTTGGTTTAGTAGGCGTTGACAAAATGTCAAAATAATTTGTTCTTCTAAATGACATATTGTACCATACATAATTGTATTCGTAAATGCTACTCAATACATTATGTACTTTTTTCCGGTTCATATAAAAGTATAATGTTGATGATGGTTTTTCAAAGACGAAACGTAGCAGCGAAAATCTTGTAAAATGGTGAGCTTAAAAAGTTACTTTTGGATTTTTTTAATATCTTCGGAACTGATCGGAATGCGCAACTCTTTCTAATTTAACCGGCTGTGTACTTCTTATGGTTTCCGATGTGTCCATGATGTTCATTCTTATCTTGGACACAGTGTATTTTGTAATCTTTTCTCCATGTTTTAAAGAAGCGAAATTCTCGGATCAAAAAGCTTCAAACCTTGGACTTAAGCAAATTTTCGGAGAAGGATCTCCCGGTCCTTGCGTTTTTGTTGGGGGGTATTTAATCCCCCACGCGCAGGTGTGGGGGGGGGGCGCAAACTTTTAGTGCCGCCAAGGGCGCGGTCATATCTAGTTACGGCCCTGCAGTGGTATCTAGCTAGGTATAGATTTTAGCGCATTTTTGCAAATTTAGTTGCAAAAATTATCAGAGGTCTCGTGTGAGATCGAAGGGACTTCAGCACATTTTTGTGTGACAGATCAGATCAGTACCTACATTTTGATTATAAAATACTAACTATATTCAAAGCTACTAGCTATGCTACTAGTCGATCTACTCTATTAGCTTTGAATATAAAATTTTATATTCAAAGCTATTAGCCAGTTTTGACTCCACCATCAATAAGATCTTGTCTAAGGCTACCACATTCTCTTTGTCGGTACCCACTTCCTACGCAATTTTCTTTTGAAGTTTTGACTCACCATCAGTAAGATCTTGTCGAGAGCAGCCACATTCCCTTTGTCGGATCCGGTTTCCGACGTCTCGTTCACTCGCAATTCGCGTTTGAAGTTTTCACTCCACCATCAGTAATATCTTGTCGAAGGTAACCTGCACATTCCCTTTGTCGGTACCGGCTTCCGACGTCCCGTTCACCCGCAGTTCGCATTTTACTAGATTTCGCGAAGAACCCTTCACAAAATATAGTACTAGATTTTTGGGACACTCGCATATAGCTCGAGCTTCTATTAGGGACACGAGAAAGAGAGATTGCGATTCGCGAGCTTTAAAGAACTTTAAACCGCGTGACAAACTTTTCAGCGGAAGATACCTTTTGGGCGCCCAAAGTCGACTATCACTCATTGCAAAAGGTGGTTAATTTCGCCCCTAGGAAAAAAATTCTTACAGGCAGGAGTTGTGCGCGTTTACAAGATCTTTCCGGCGACACCAATTGGTCTCCAGATTATAGTACACCACGCTCGAGGATGCCGCCCAGATGTAGCTCGCCGTTCCTAAAGTTGTTAAATACACATACACGACACCGGTACATGTATGTACACTCCTCGTCTTTCTACAAGCTTTGTTCTATTGGCCCACATTTGCCCCCTGTCAGTCATAGCTAGCTAAAGTGAGATTAAAAGCAATTTTTTTTTGCAAATTAATAATAATAATGACATTTATTGAGGACACATTATAGGTACAAAGAACAGATATTATACATTAAGTACGTTACATTATATAATTGGTGACTCAATGGGGCGAAGTTCAGAATAAACCGTGTTATTCCGTCTGCTCTACCACTCAACTCAACCCCCTACATATAAAATTAACATAGTAAGAGACCAAGGTCCAAGACATAAAAAAAACCTAGAACTTTTAGTAAGTAAAGCAAAATTATACGATAATCATTCAGTATGAGAGCACAAATGAAAACCTAAAAAAAATAAAAAAGAAAAAAAAATTATAGCAATAATGATGTTGCAACTTAATGCTGTCGTGCAAGGGGTACGAGACGCAAAAGCGTTTTTTAAAAAGACTTTCGGATAAATGTTTTAAATATGAGATGGTAATTCATTATACGTCTTTGCAATATTGTAACTATAGGAGCGTTTAAATAGAGTGATAAGTACATCTGCAAAAATGCGCTAAAGGTAATTTTAAATGATTTTACTCAATTTGGCCGGTTGGCTGGCTGGCAGCAAATGCGGGCCCGTAGAAGAATGCTTGTAGAAAGACGAGGAGTGTACGTACATATGTACCTATACCGGGGCAATGTAATTAACAACTTTATAGGGACAGGGCTAGGTAGGTATATAATCGACGATGTCGACGTCTGGGCACCATTCCCGATCGCGTTATAGGTACTATAACCTGGAGATTTTTCATCTTTTTCCATCTTCTTCTACAGTTTCGGTCCGATTGTTTTCAAATTCGTATCGTCGGAAAGACCTTGTAAACGCCTGACGGAAATTTGTTTTTTTTCTTTAGGGGCGAAATTAACCACATTATATTGCAAGAGGCGCCCGTCTTCGAGGGGTAGTCGACTTTGGGCGCGTAAAGGTTTTTTAGAGTTCTAATCGCGGCCTCTCATGTCACTAATAGAAGCTCAAGCAATGAACGGTACCCAAAAATTGAGTACTATTTTGTGGCGGAGTTTAGTGAAATCCACTAAAATGCGAATTGCGAGTGAACGGGACGTTGGAACTGGGTAGGTACCGACAAAGGGAATGTGGTAGCCCCTGACAAGATCTTACTGGTGGTGGAGTCAAAACTTCCAACGCGAATTGCAGGTGAAAAGGACCGCCAGGACGTCGGAAGTGGGTACTGACAAAGGAAATATGGTAACCGCCAACAAGATCTTACCTGATGTTGATGTCAAAACTTGAAACCCGAATTGTAGGTACATGGGCGGACGTCGGAAGAGGGTTTTGACAAAGGCAATGCGCTAGCCTTTGACCTGATCTTATTGATGGTGGAGTCAAATCCAGCTAATAGAATACTGACCTGCATCACAAAAATATGCTGAAGTCCCTTTGATCTCACACGAGGACTTCTATAATTTTTTGAAATTATTACACTTCCACATACAGCAATGAGAGATAAAATAAAATGAGCTTAAAGAAAAACAGGAAATAAACTAACTCTGTTGCAGTTTTTTATTCATTAGAAGTTGTATTAAAGCAATTCAAGTTCCATTAATCTATCATTCTGTGTCAATAGCTCGTTAGAGTGGACTGCATCCTTTGGAACCACATGTTGACTACCAATTAAGCAATTCTTCAGCTGACAACCGCTCTCTATGACAGTATCGTTGCATACTATGCAATTCTCTAAAGCCACCCTAGAAATGTATGTGTTTAAGACTAGAAAATTTACCACTGATGCATACTTCTCCTTAATGACAACATCATTCATGAGAACAGAATTGAACACTCGTGAAAATTTGTCAACTTCACAGTGAGCACCTAATATGCTATTCTTAAACGAGGTCTTCTCACTAAGCTTGCACGAGTTCCAAATAATGCATCTATCATCCACTTGATTCGACAGAACTTCAGCTGATGAATCGATTCGATTAAACTCCTTATCCTTAGTTAACTTCTCCCATTTATCGATAATCTAAAGCAAAGCGTGACAAAACTAGGCCAGTTCTGAAATCCTCACCTTAAAATTCACAGAATGGTAAGCTGGTAAAGTATTGACTCTAATTCCAAACACATTCGGTTTGGCAATATAAGCAAAGCACCGTACGAGATCGCCATGGTAGCTTGGTTTCAGGTCGCCATGATGATCATTGAATGAAGACGTCTCCTGTATCAACCTATCCAAGTTTGTTTGCGACGCAAACGCAAACACTCCGCTTTCGTCCTTTGTGTTAACAATGGAAGTGTTAAAATCGTGCTTTTGTTTCGGTTTAAGCAATTGTTTTCGAATAATATGCGGCAACAGTTCGCCTTTAATGGTTGAAATGCTAGGCTCTGTCTGAAGGTAGTTGACAACCCATTTCTTCATTACGTACACATGGGAGTCGATTAAGTTGCTGTACATTGTGATTTGGGTGTGCTTCTTTATAAGCGCTTTGGGTAAGGTCACCGTACTTTCGAAGTCGCTTGCCGACGCAAGAAATACTAATCTGTTCGTCTGAGAATCAATTCCAATCAGGTCCCTTTCTGAAATGAAACCGGTCACAAAATGAAATGGAAATGACAGAACGAACCAGGTTTGTACTTAGTTTTCGGGCCGGGCACAGTCAGATGCTCGCCTGCCGGTGGATTCAAGAATAAGGAACATAATGAAGCGTCGTGCATCCGAAACAGATTTAAAACCCCACCTAAGTTAACATCACTTATCAAATCGCATGACAAAATTAGCAAATCTGTTTTAATTTTGTCATGAATGAACCTTAAGGAATCGGCTGTACCCTGATCTTCATTTTTAATCGGTACATATTCAATTTTGACGTTAAGGTTTAATTTATCGAGACTGCTTTGAATTTCGCTCTTCTGGTTGTCGTAGACGATAAGTATCACCTCTGAAATTCAATAAAGTGATTGTGTAACAATTTGTACAATTACCTTTAAAACCGATCTCTTGCAGTTTAACCAAAGGATACCAAACCAGAGGTTTATTACCAACGGGTAGCAGGCACTTTGGCTTTGCTGCAGTAATCTCGTGCATACGAGAACCCTTTCCAGCTGCTAAAACCACCGCTTGGAATTCCAAGTTGAACATTTCTAATTATGTGTTGTTGGGATAGAGCACAATCGTAAAAGGCTGAATTAGCCAGTTATGCTAAACCTTCAAAATATTTGCAGGGATTTATACTTGCAGAAATTTAGAAATTTTAGGTTAGGTTTGAAAAATGAAGTAGTTCTAATAAATCTGTTATAGTTCTAGTGTATCCATACGTGGGCTTTCCAATAAGTAATGAACCATATTCTTTGCAACATTGCAACATCAACATAAGGAATTTGAATATTTATAAGAGCGACTTTTGGAAGTCTACCTAAAGCTAAACAAAGAAAATGCATCTTTGTACGATAACTATGTCCAAGCGCGCATAATAGTTCAAAGTCATTCTCCGTAGTTCTAATGTTCCCTTAAAAAAATGTTGGCATTTTTGTAGGTTATGTTCTAGTAATTAAGATTGTTTTTTGTGGGGCTCTCCGATTTATAACATTTAAAATGGGAAGAAGAAAGTCAAAAAGGAAGCCTCCTCCTAAAAGAAAGAACATCGAGCCTTTAGACCAACAGTTTAACTGCCCATTCTGTAACCATGAGAAGTCTTGCGATGTTAAAATGTAACCCTCTTGATTGCTTCAATTACCTATACTTACGTTTCTTATTTTAGGGATAAAGGGCGTAATACTGCGAGAATAACGTGTCGTGTATGTCTTGAGGACTTTCAAACGACTATTAATTTCTTATCGGAACCTGTGGATGTGTACAATGATTGGATTGATGCATGTGAATCTGCGAATTAATTTTAATATATATTTTACATTTTAAATAGTTGGTTGTTTAGACTTCATGTATTTTAAAATTTGGTTGGAAATGATGGTAGATCTTGTGGTGTTTGATCGTCGATAATTTTTGTTACTTATAAATTGCTTATCTAATGTACAATTATGGGTATCAAGTGTAATTAAAGAAATTACTTAGTTGTGAAACTAGAAGTTTTTGTTGGAAATCAAATTGAGTGTTCACTACCCAATGATCGAAGCATATGACTCAATAAAAAAATATTGAGTAAATCTCAGAAGTTTGTTTTTCATACCTGTTCAAAGTAACTCTCCATTCTCAATCCTTTGTGAGCAAAAATTACATTGTGTTATCTGTGTGAAGTCAATGGGACAATTTTCCAGTTAATAAAAATTGATACATACCTTTTACGTTACCCCTTAGAAGAGGAAAGAGATGTCTAATTTTTACCCAAAATCCTCGTGAAAACTTCATTTTCATGCCCACCTTATTTCAAGAAATTTCCATGACAGCAGCAAGAAAATAAGCTTTATGATCGACTGATTGATAATGGTCGCTTTATAGTACTATCTATAGTCTATACTATACTAGGTACTATAATGGTCATTAGTAGTAGTAGGTATACCTACTTTTGCGGCCACATAAAGTAAGTATACCTAACTATTTATAGTACTAGTAAAATAAAGTTAGGTACGAATTGTTTTGGATTCTACGCACCAAAATTGATAAGAAAAAGTGTTTTCCCGAGAAATTTTGGTGCAGTCGATTTTTGGTAAAAAAGGAAGGTTGTACACTGCCTTTTTTTGAGGCCCGAAGAAAAAATTGTCTCAGATCGACCCGGAAAAAAATTTTCTTATAGAATGTGGCCTGTAGAATCCATAATTTCAAACAGATCCAAGATTGGGCTACTAGTTAAAAAAGTTACAGTCCTTTGAATTTTTTTTTCAAATTGGTTTCTAGTTTATAACTTTTGATTGAGAAGTCTGATCGAAAAAGTACGAATTGATTTGGATTCTACGCACCAAAATTAAAAAGAAAAAGTGTTTTCCCGAGAAATTTTGGTGTAGTCGATTTTTGGTAAAAAAGGAAGGTTATACACTGCCTTTTTTGAGGCCCGCAAAAAAATTGTCTCAGATCGACCCGGAAAAAAATTTTCTTATAGAATGTGGCCTGTAGAATCCATAATTTCAAACAGTTCCAAGATTGGGCTACTTGTTCAAAAGTTACAGCCCTTTATATTTTCTTTCGAAATTAGTTTCTAGTCTATAACTTTTGATTGAGAAGTCTAATTGAAAAAGTAGGTACTTTATTATTTTAATAATGTCAGAATGAATATACTGATATTTATATAAATCGACAAAATACTTTACAGTCTACTGCCTTTGTTTTAATAATTTGTTATTTTGATACTCGTAATACAGTGATTATTGTTGTCACAAATACGTACCCCTTGACCATCACCTACCTCATTCATTATGATTACATTCTAAACTTACCTATGCGATTTTATAATTTAATTGGGTAAAATAGCATGTGTGTATAAACAATTAATTAATATATTTAATATAAATAAAACTAGTCTTGTCATACAATTCCCTTTAAGCGTTTAATTCCTACAAAATACAATAAATTCATACAATTCCCTTTAGCTAAGCGTTTAATTTCTACAAAATACAATAAATTGGCGACGAGGATTGTTAGAATCGACGACCTACAATGACTATACAAACATAATTTTTTAAATTGAAATGTTTGAAAATTCTCGATTTCAATGGAAGAGATGGGTGACACGATTGGAAGGTGCTTTTGATGTGTTTTGTGGTGTATCCAGGCCAGTCCCGAGAGACTGCGCAACTCAAGATTTAAATTCAAAACTTTCCCTCCCAAACTAACTGAACCCCATGGCACGTGATCGTCTAGATAAAGCTACCTAACTTGAATAACCGGATAATAGGACCACTTCCTACGTTGTGTTTTTAAGAGTCGCTACAAGATATGTGTTGCCTGTCGGAGTGAGGATCAAGTAAGGATTACAAATAAAACAAGTACATGCTTTAAAAACGGAGATTTAATCCAAATAATTTGCATTGCGAGATTAAATTTAGAAAATGGTAGTTCACCGAGTACAAATATAAAAATAGGCTGGGAAAAAGAACTGACCAAGAAAAAACCCAGCCAACAAATTAATATTGAACTTTATAGCAAAATTAGTCGTCTGAAATGGCATAAATGCATGGTGTCAAGTACATCAATACAATGTCGGATCCCAGGCTCCACTGGAATTCCTGAAGAATCAAGATTTCACATACATAACAAAAAAACAAGCATAAAAACAGTACAATAAATTCACATAATAAGTTTGGATATTGGGTGATCAGTCCAAATCCCACACCGAGTAGTCTTTAGTTGCTCTGGTCATGACATGTCAACATTGTATGAAATCGCTAGGAGTTGGCCTCTCATAAGAGCATTTCACACAGGAAGGATACCCCAATGGATACAAAAAAACAAAGGGCACAACGGGAACACGCCGTACACTTTTAGCAGATCCCTGCGCAAGTGAGGCCGGGACTTGCCTGCGCCCTCATGTACGACTAAGCGGGACCCCAACTCTTTCATTCACACGTCTCTAGGGCCAGTCCAACCCACTAGTCTTAAAATGCCGGGTTATAAATTACCGAACTCCAGGCTCTCTACCATGAGTACTGACCATAACCGATCAAAAGACAAATCATGACATAACATAAATAACAGAGTAACCAACGGCAAACTCGCACGCATACATAATCATAAACAAAATAGTTATACAGAATTTACGTAGGCGTTGACAGTCAACATATTTGCACTGGCATAACAAAGACTGACACAAAACCAATATTCGGTCACTACATGACAGGGATCGATTAAACGAATTGATTAGCAATATCCGCAAGATCGCTCTTTTCAAAGACACAACAAAAAACAGTACATAAAATATATATCTCTGCGTATGTCAGTTCTGAACTTTAGCCAGCCTCTGCTACGTCAAATCGAGATATTAAATATCGGTATCAAATATCAATATCAAATATAGCACAGTAAATATTCGAAACAAGTCACCCCGCCAAATATTAATAATCATAATCACCCGGTTCAAATAAACAGTAGGAGCATAAATTTTAGTACAATCACATTACAACAATACAAAGGAACATGTCGTGGCAAACATTGGTATCAAGTAATTAATTCACAATGCCAAGTGCAATATGTGACAATCAACCACCTAACGTACGTCACTCGCCCCCAGATGAAGGCACCCTGTAAATACACAGTAACATATTCAGGTAAACAAAAACGAAATGTGTTGCAATAAATTCAATTATAAATTAAAATGTAGTTCTGCATACTTGTATTGGGTATCGCCCCTAAGGGAACATACAGCATCTAAATATAAACAAAAATACGTAAATCGGTCAGTAATTACCCAGTAGAAACAGTATAATTAAAACTGCAATTTGTATCTGGAATGTGTTATAAATGGCAATAATAAATGTTGTACGAGAATAAAGTTAAATTGGCAAATAATTGAACACGATCATATCGTTATTAGGGGGATGCAATAGACGTAGAGATAAATAAAACGAGTACATCACCTTTGTAATTGTCGAAGCTGCACTCACTATTCGCAACGTAAAGATTTACTTCTGGTCACAACAAAAGCACACATACTTCTGCCTAAATTTCCCCTTTGCAGGCCAATCCTAGACGAAAACAATTCTTAATATCGAACGTGTCTCGAGACGGGTCGATATACGGATCATTAAGTTTCCTCGCATAGCTCGCATAGCGTAATATTTGACACTTTTATTGTAAATTATGGCCCATTTCAATGTAGAGCAGAGAAGAAAAAAAACACGTGTTCCACGAAAACGAAACAAAGCGCAATCTTGACCTTTTTCGTCGCGCCAGGCTCGGATTCGGGAATATTTAAATCGAATTTTGGCGGGCTACTTCGGTTCCATCACAGTTTCAAATTGAAGAGAATAAGAAGCTGCCATACTTACTATATTATATGGGACCTCTGATACATACGATCTTCTTTGCGACAAGCTTATTCACTAAATTCACCTAACAACCCTACAGACAAGACATACAATCAAGTTGTTAAACTTTTACAAGATTACTACAGTCCTGTTCCTTTGGAAATAGCAGAAAATTTTAGATGAATTCTTATTTACAAGTCGATGAACATCCCTTACCAACAATTGATGAGCTTTTTTTCATCAATGGCTGGTGGTGAAAAGTTTACAGACTTAAGCCAAGCTTACTTACATTAGAAGTGCATCCTGATAATATAGGCATTTATTAACGTTGAATACTCATAAGGGCCTATATCAATGCAACTGTTTAATGTTCGGGTATTGCTTCTGTACCTGCTATTTGGCAGCGGCAGATGGAAAAACTATTAGAAGGGATTCCTGGTGTATCAGTTTTCCTGGATGATATTAAAATTACTGGACCGAATAATTTAATACATTTACAACGTTTAGAAGAAGTTCTAAAACGCTTACAAAATCACAATCTTCGTACTAATTTACAAAAAAGTAATAATACCTAAAATTTTACAAAAACAAATTTTAGATGAGTTACACCTCTGCACATTTTGGTATTTACAAAATGAAAGGTTGTGCACGTAGTTATTGCCGGTGGCCTGGTATAGACAACAATATTGAAACGTTAGTAAAGAATTGTGCTAACTGCATTAAAATTAAGCATAATTCTACAGTAGTACCAGTGCATTCATGGGAAAGTGTTAATAAACCATTTCACTGTGTACATGTCGACTATGCAGGTCCATTTTATGGTTATTATTATTTTATTTTAGGGTATCGGTGGGAGTAATGGTCATAATGGTTAAGAACATTTCAAAAAAATAGCATTTAACAGCACATTGATAAACTTCTGCAAGTTTTGAATGTACATCACACTTGGTTTTAAACATTATTAAAGCATAATAAAGTTATAATAAGGAATACTCAAATATTGTTGATAACATTTTTTAAATAATAACTTGTCAAGCGCATCAGTAATGAACACACTAACTCTAGTTGTGGTCATCATGCGTTGCAATAATGGACACCTAGAAAAGTACAGCTAATTTATTGCTAAATATTAATATAACGTTGACAAAACAATATTATAAATATTTATGCATCTCTGGAACACTGAACAACCCTCTATTATTTTTCAATTTTGGTTCCTGGGATTTCACAAATAATATCTTCATTAAAGTAAAACAGTTCTCATTGCCACATTTTGAGCTCTACAAGTCGCGCTTGAGAGATTATCAATACGACGTTTAGTTTCGAAGAATAATCATCATCAACTTTATTTTTTACATGGCCTGTAAACAATACATACTCTTGAGTAGGTAGCATTCTTTATTACGAATCCAACGATATATATGTCACAAAAAAACAAAAGTTGTAAACTGTTGGTTTCAACAGGATGGCGCACCCACGCACAACTCTCTAATCGTGCCAGAATACCTATTGGATCACTGTTTTCATTTTCCGGAATATTTGTCCGATAGGTATTCTAATTCTGACACGATCGCTCCTATACAAATTTTGAAGAAAAACTTTATTAACAAGCTGTGTAAAAATAAGAGAGCGTGAAGGTACTTTACAATAGCATACTTAAAATGTAAAACCACCACAGAACGAACGAGGTCACTTTATTGTTTCATCATCTGTACAGCAGCTAAAAGTTCCAAACGAAGACATTATGACTTATGAGGAAACAAAATGTCTGTATCAACATAGACCTGTTAGACAGAAAAATGACTGAAGTTGAAATTCCCAAGCGATGGATACACAGTGAAATATTAGTACATGCTGGAAAACTCTTTTTTTATAGACGATAGGAAGCAGATTAAAAAAGAGTATGATGACCATTTTAAAGAAAGCAGACAGGAGGTGTAATTAAAGGGACAAAACAAAGGAAAAGCAAAAGAAGATTTAGAAAAATGCTTACCTACCTACGTCTGCGCTGCAAAATTATTTACTTTCAGCTATACACTCAGAGACTTTTTCAATAACATCAAAACTTGCTGTAAGTGGAATAAAAGTGCAGCCAGGAAAGCGAGAAAATCAAATAGATTTATATTATTAAAATAGTGAAAAAGTAATATCCAATTCTGTGGAATAGCTTACAATCTGGTTACATAACTGCTTTCTTCTTGAAATAGAAATGTCAACTCTATTTTAGCACATTTCCACATTTTAAACGACACTCTTTCCTTGAAAATAATTATTCATAAATATCTTCTTAGAGGTAGATATAATGACCATGCATTGATTGAAATCGAAAGACATGACAAAAATTGAAATTGTAACAGCGTGGGATTGGCAGCAGCTGGTTCGAATGGTCAGTCAAAAACATCCGTTATGAATATTTGAAACGAATACAAATTTTCCATGTCAATCATTTTAAAGTATCTCAAATCGTGTACTTACATTCAAATTCGATCTGAACAAATAAGAGAAGTTTTGTAAAATGAATTTCAACGACAAGGAAGTTTTAGATCTAAATCGGACATCTGTAGAACATCGTCTTTGTCAATGGAAATCTTATACGAGATACCTGAAAATGCCGTCAGCCTAGAAAAAATACAACCACTTACACAACTTCTTGCATTGGGTACCTATGATCTTTATAATAAGGTGACTTACAATAACCAAGAAGATGATGACGTTGAATAGAATTGTAATATGTTTTTGATCTGCTGTTAGAATGTTTGAATGCTTTTTACTATGAAATAAATGTGAGTGATTTTATGCTGGAAAAGAAATATTTCGCACCCCGCACACGGTGGGGTTTTACGAATAAACAATTTTACTACAGAAATAAACAGGCAAAAATAGCTTTATTAAAATTTAAAAAACTCAATCACACATACTTAAACAAGAGAGAGTATAATTACATATGAGGAGGGGCCCAAACAAGATTTCATAACTTTTTTGGACCGAAGGCATTATATTATTTCGGAGGGGGATGTACATTTTTAGGTATGTTTCACAATTTCGGAGAGATCTTTTCTTTGGCTACGGCCATCATTCTTCCTCGACAAAAGAACAAGAAAAACCATAATCATTTATTTATTTGCATTCTTTTCTATAGATGTGAATAACGTCGTGGATGGTCATACAACTACACATTCATCAGGTTAGACATATCCTTACCTCACTTTTAATAGGTATTATTTAACAACGTGAACAGCCTTATCTAACTAAAGGTACTCTGGCAACTACTAAACGTGGTTGTCTCATTGCATTTTAAACAATTACTATAAGTAAATATATAAATACAAAAGGCTGCTACTTGTTCTCAATAAGTATTACCATAATGACAAAAATTGCGGGAGATGTAAAAAAATTACGTTAATATTATTAACTAAATTTATTTCCCCAAAAGCTTCCATCCCACAATTCCATTACAAATACTTACGAAAAACAAACTGAATAATCGAATTAACAACAATATCTACAATAGGTAATAATAATAATTTTATATTGTGAATATTATCAATTGTTATAACAATACAACATTGATCATTTTTTCATATAGTTTAACGATTTTTAAGTGTTTTTTCAGCAAAAAATTTATCACTACTTCAACATTTTGAAGCAGAAGCATTATTTTAGGTTTGTAAAATTTCAAGTCGGAAATTTTACAAAGTAAAATTCGATGCAGTGGAAAATTTGGTCGAAATTTTGCAATGCATTTTTTTCTTAATAAATTGATCAATTCAGATTAATAGCTATATCTAGTATTAAATGCGCTACTATAACTAGGTTATATATGTGTCGTTGTCTCCAAGATTTAGATATTCCAAACGCAACACGCTGGAAAAGGTTTGAGTTCGGAATTCGGCGTAAGCGATCTTTTTTTGAACCTCGGTTTTGATTGTGACTTTAGCATTGTGCGGGTTAACGCCATTGATATAGTCCCAATTGAACCTCGGTTCGGTATAACTTATATTTTGTTTTAAGTACAGTAGGTAATAACACAGTTCAAACATATAATAATATATCACACACTACGCTAGTCATACTACGATTGCTTACGATGTTTTTCTCTACAGTGAAATTACAACAACAGGTTAAGTTAGGAACAATGATTTGGGATTACTGTTTAACAATACCACCCAAATGTTAAATCACCTTGACAACCGGTTAACAATTTAGTAGCTAAAAAATACACTACCGTGTTTCCTGCAATAATTTGCTTGTTTCCTTTTTCATCGGAAGCAAAAGATACGTACACGTACAGAAAATATGATGATTTCACCCAAATTCCACATTAAACATTGCGTTTTGCCAAAAAGACATTTAAATATTTAAAATACACTTGAGCAACGACACCTATAAATATACACACATCAACACAGTCTATTACACTATAGTTTACAAAGATGCAACCACTATCATCAGCTACAAAGACAGATATAGATACACGATTAAGTCAAAACTACAAAGAGTAAGAGAAAGATACGATGATATATAGGTATAATTGACACAGACAACTGGAAGGTAGGTGTAGATTCATTAAAAAACTCATATATTTGCAGTGCAGTTTTTACAAAGTGCGTTAAAATCATAGTGACGTTTGTACAAAAAGCAACATCAAGCTCAGTCAGTGGATGTCAAAGCAAACATATAGAGAAAAAGAACTCGAGACACGTCAAAAACCCATCGATTATTGCTTTAGATTGCATGTTGATGGTGTGTGTATATGTGTTTAGGACTGACTGATCCCATTGATCATTGGTAGATAACTTTTAATCTAAAAGCACACAGCAAACTTTGATAGCAAAACATAACAACTATTTAATGTTTTACATTGAAGAAATACGTTCTGGTGTTATAAATCTTGGTCGTAGTGGGACTAGGATATTAATGTAGAAGATATCCACAAAGAGACAGAGACAACAACAATGAACAACGAACAATTGAGAAATGACATGCAACACCGACACAAAAAGCCTTCTGGCATAATTTCAAAAATGCTCGATGGTCAGGTTCTCTACCAGAAACTAAACGGAAGCGGTGGTGAGTCGTGAAGCACAACTAAAATTAATAAAATCCACCCTTCGATGCTAGTACTCGCACGTTTCCTTGCAGGCATCGGTAGCATCGAAAAGTGGCAAACATCAAAGGCGTCTTTAGGAATTTGGATGATGACCGATCACAGTGTGTTGGAAAGTGAAGAGCATCGGGGCAGTGAAGGAAAATGTGAATAAAGCCTCAAACATCCTTCAATATCAAACTACATGCGTTATCACGAAACGAAAGGTACGCACACACTTGGTAGATTTGTTACAAAAAATAGGTAACACTATCTCTATCTACATAACTTGGTAACAATTTAGTAACATTACGACAAAAGTATTATGACAATGCGTATCGGTGTACCACGTCATCATAATATTTTTGTTATTTGTTAATTGTTTAAATATCGCAGTCTCTTTTTAATGTGTGGCAGTTTGCTGCGCGACAATGTCTACTTTATGAAACTACGTTTTTTTTTCTCTCAACATTAGTAAAAAAAGGTTCAAATTAAACTAATTACCATTGCTTATTATTTTCAAACGATACTGTTCGATCACAGGTTTGCATCTATCTAACAATTGGATTTAATCCTAAAAACTAATTTTTCGTGTTTTTATCTAAAGCAGATGTAGGTACATTTTCTGAGCTGTTAGCGGATCTACAGAGGCCGCGCAGAAATTGCCTCGTGGATGTCTCCAAATTCATTGCATCACACATTTACTCTCTATTTGAGACTTGAGTTCATTTACTTGTGTCTCTATCGTGTTCTTCAACTCTGAAAATCAAATAAGGTTACATTCACGTCACAAACAAGATGCTAGAAAAAGAGATTGTAAAAAAGAGAAAAATCAAACGGGTTCCTTAAACGAAAGGGCGAACCGTAATAAAATGGCCTTTGTTTACACGAACACAAGAATTACTAAACACATTCGCTTAACATTAGTACTGAAATGAGAAGCTTTTGTCGGACGTTACCTATGTATATGGTCCATACACTACGTAAGATATCTACTAATTAAAGAAATAAAACAAAACATAAAGTGACACCAAACGAGCACAAAGTTAATCTTGAAGATATAGTTGGACACACAGTGTAAAAAATTTATTAGAGTTCTTTCCGCAGAAGAGTAACTGGGGCCCTGGTGTGAATCCGGTTTTGGGAAACGGAGATTTGTAAATGTATAGTGGGTTAGGTTGGTAGAGCAGCGTTGGCTGAAACCTTGCCCACTTAAAAAAATACGCCGCCCACATAAAAAAACTACCTACAACAGAGCAAGCTATGCAGTTTAAAGTAAATATAACTGTAATTAGACTATATGGTTTACTGTAATGCAAATTTGGTTATAGTGATCTAAAGTATTGTTTACATCACATCACAGCCCCTAAGAGCGAGGTAGTGTTACTGTTACGTAATATTGTGTTTGGTGAGAGGAAGAACACATCTTATCCAAAGACTAACTACCACTACTTGTAAAAACATCTAAAAAAAGAATGACGAAAACTACCAGATATTACTATTGAACATCACGGAAGACTATTATAGATACGTACTTTCATTTAGATACAACCTCCTCAATTTTAGGTGCATTTTTTATAAATGACATTTGTTGACATGCTGAATTGAATCTACTACTAAGATTCCATTTGAATAGCATCTTTAGTTATTGAAGATATGAATAGGTAGATGGCGTGACATGCAATTCCGTAATTTTCATAGTAGGCATTATTTTTTAGAACCGTTCGAAAAATTTCCTGGAATACTCTCCGCTTGGGATCCAGTGTCTTTCCTAATACCTGTTATATCAACTTTTCGGAATCACACTGTTTGCCGTGTTATACCTACTCCAGTAGGTATTCATATGGCCGATGTGCCATGGAAGATTAGTGACGTAATCTTTCGAGAAATATGCAGTGTATTGTTCTAGAACATTTGAAGAGATTCGCGAACACTCGAGAACATGCGGGTGTACTATATAAGCAAATCGAATTGCGTTTCGGGACAGTTGTAAATAGTGAGTGATAAATTGTAATTACTGTTATAAATTAATCCATTTTAAGGCTGTTGTAAATTTATTGTTGTATTTAAGTGGATGTCAGTAGTGACCAGATCTACATCGTAAAATTTGGAGGAACTTCTGCAGTTGATGCCAAGAAATGAAAGTCGGTCAAGGTGACTTTAGCAACATTTAACATTTTTTATTGCCAAAGGCGTTCTATTCGCAAAATGAATATTTTAATTTTAATCGGCGAAAAAATAAATTTATGTTTTACTTTAGATTTTTGTGTAATTTTATTTTGACGATTGTATGTAACTTTTCCTGTTACTTAAGCATAATAAAAGTTATTATTATTATTAAGCTACCTTTTTAAAAGTTTTAGGTCAATGTCACTCCCACTTTAGTATTTTGATAAAAATGGAAAATGACTTCGTCTCAAGTGGTTCAAGAACCTGAGACCGATTGATAGATAAAGCAGCTTTATGACTGATCCTAAACTAATCAGTGGTACCTTCGGTGAAAGTGTCTGATATTTACCCAAAGTATCATTGGAATAAGCGTTGTGGATTTAAGTAGAAAAATTCAACAATATAACCCCTTTACTCTTACAGCCCAGAAAAACACAGCCCTTGTGCTCGTTTGATATTTTCCTTGAACACGATTGGTGACCCAGAAATAAAAAAAAAAAACCTTAAACAAAAGAAAAATTATGTATATTTAATCAAGTAAACATAATAACAAAACTTATAGAAAATAAAACAAAGTAAATTGTTAAGTTATACAAAAGATGTTAGGTATATAAAACAGTGTGTGATTAAAACTCCCAAAAGATATCAGTTTATAAAAATAGACGCTTAAAATCACAGGAGAGATAGGAAAACATGCAACTTTGAAGGAATCTCACATTCAAGTTCGATTTGCTCCGAATGCATGGGAAAGCCTTCAAAGGATTACACGTTTATGTGCGTTTTACCATTGTACAACTGTCGAGACAAAACTTGATTGAAAAAGAAGAAAGATTATAAAAAAATAAAATGCATGCGTCAGTTTTGGCAATACGTCTAATATTGTCATAGGCCCAAAAGGCACTATAAGGTTTAAAAACTCGACAGAGTTTCTTTCATTGTCAATCCGCAAGTTTTGTACTTAGGTGTATGAGGCCATCTTGTCTTATTAAAAATAATGGGTTCAACAATTTGAGTGCAACATTGATTAAAATTTACATCTAAAAACATCTATAGTTACATTAAAAATTACAAGAAAAATTGACATTGCGCTTTTAACTTTCCCTACAAGCTACATAATTGTGCATCGTTGCTTAAGTTTTGACGCTCGCGTAAAACACTCACTCGTGAATTCGTCCTCGTCCTCCAATTCCGCTTCCCTCGCCAATTCTTCGGGGGTCTTTTTCTTACGCATTAAAGGGTTTGGTTCCTCCTGAACGGAATCGACTACCTCCTCCTTCTTCTTTATATTGTACTGAAACAAGCGTTCAATTAATTATACGAATTGAAACAAGCGTCTTCATTATTGAGTAAAACGCAAGATTAAAAGCGTATTACTTCATTACTCATTTTAGAAACCTTATCTTTTTCGCTTTTACCTAATGCCTGTCCCTTGCTAATCGTCTTTTACCCTTAATTACCTATTTTGTGCATCAACTTCCCTGGCGTTATTAATTACTGCACAAGCGAGATAATCGCCGATATGATTTGATTAATTTCCTTTGAGCTTGGGAAGTTATAACGAATATTAGATTTGCAATTAGAGTTCTTTGGAAGGAAGGCGTGTCGGTAAGCTAATTTGAAATAAAAGCGCTACGCAACTAGCCAGGGAGAGTTAAATATGAAAAGGGTTGACGTTAAAGTGTACATAAGAGCACACTTTGCCAAATGAGCGTCCTTTTGCAAATGAAATCTAACCAAGAATGATAATGTTCTAAGCGTGCTCATTAATTAAAATACAGGAATACGTAATGTTGAATTATTTCCGTCGTATTGCGCTCGTTGAAACAAAAACGGCATATACGCTAATGGTACACCCCTGGCGTTCAATTTCTAATGCCTCATTGTAGAATTCTATCAGTCACTCCTTTTGGTTAGACATTGAAATTTTTTATTCAATGACGGCTGAGTACTTCGGAGATTCTTCAGAACGATATTGCAGAGTACTTTAATAACTTTAGAGATTCTCGGTCTCTCTTGTGAGAGGCATTCCAAACTTTGCCCACAGAATTGGTATACAATTATGAAAGATTCTTCAGATATTCTTTATAGATGGTTTAGACGATATTCTCATTAGATTTTTAGACATTTTGATGAATCTGAAACAAATACTAAAAGCCACAAACAAAAACATACAAAAAGTGGTCCTGGTTCAGGGGTGTTCGCGGTTTAAATGCTATTCAACACAAGAAGGCGTTTTTTTGAAACTATTAAGTGCACCTTTCTATGGAAGTTTACCTGAAGGCACGGATGGGTAGAAGTACGAATAAAGGAATTATTTTTTGAAGGCTATTCAATAAAAGGCGTTTTCCTTGTGTGTGACGTTAAAAACGTCCAGAATTTTCAAGATTGGACGACTACTTTAAAATGTGAGGGCAAAAGGACCAGGGGCGTAACTTTTACGGTAGTCGCTCAATCATGAATATTCTGGACGTTTTGGATTTTACAGGCCACAATATACAGGGTGCTCATTATGTATGGAATATATAGTATATAGGTACTCGGTAAATATCGAATGTATGTTAACATTTTATTTCCCATAATAAGTTATTTTTATTTCAGAAAACAAATGAGCTACAAAAAAACAATTGATTTTTTAAAAATCGCAGTGCACCTTTTCTTTAGAGATTTTTTTCTCCTTTCGATGATGTAACATGTTAGTACTCTAACGCAAGCAACTTTATTATATTTACACCAAAAACATGAATCTAGATATCCTACATCAAAATTAAGCAAATGAATGTGTACCTACGTTTATATTAAACCTTGAAGACAAAATGAAATTAGCAATAAAATGGTTTTCATCGCAATAAGCGTTCACAATAATTTTATTATTAACTGCAAGTGAACTAAATCACGGAAAACTTTAAATGAATGTCTGAGTATTCTGGGAGAAATTGATGCAGCAATCATTGCTAGTTTCGTGTTCATTTGTTTTATTTTGATGTAGGATATCTAGATTAATGATATTGATGTAATTTATTATAATAAATTAAACAAAAATTTTTTTTGCAAACTGGTAGTGACATGTTATATCATCAAAACCAAAAAAATCTCTATCAATGAGGCTAATGAAAGAGGGTTCATTGCTATTTAAAAAATTCATTTCTGAAACCAAAACAACAGAATGCTGCCTTATTATAGGAAATAAAGCGTTAAACGACTTTCATATAGAAAAATGTTGTATACAGTCGATATTTACCGAGATATATACTATATTTACGTTATTAGACGTAACTGATAATATTTTTAAAGGGATTGATGACAATAAATTAACTATTTTGGTTTTGCTCGATTTTACACGTGCGTTTGACACTATTGATCACAAAGTACTATTTGCTATCTTTAAACATATTGGGTTTGATTGCACAACAATTACATTTTTTAAATCATATTTATCGTACCGGTCGCAAATTGTGCAATTGCATAACAAATTGTCAAACAAAAGCTTTGTTTCAGGGAGAGGTGTACCGCAGGGGTCGAATTTAGGCCCTCTGCTATTTCTTATATATTCCTCGCGACTTTTCTCTTGTTTAAAGTTCTGTAATTATCATAAATACGCAGATGATCTGCAGATTTATTTAACGTTTGATGAGAAAGAGGTTCTTACAGCTTGTGACAAGATTAAAGAAGACCTTAATAATGTATTTAGTTTTTCTCAGAAGCACTCTTTGTTTGTTAATCCTAACAAATCTTGTGCAATCTTATTTGGTCCTAGATATGCATGTGAAAGGGTAAAGCCTTTAATATCCATAGATATTAACGGCACGCCTATCTCGTTATCTACCCGCGTTAGGAAATTAGGATTGCTCATGGATGAAGGTTTAAGGTTTAACTACCATATTTCAAAGGTCTTACAAAATGCATATTGTAACTTAAAAATGATATTTATGAATCGCCACGTACTGAATAAGAAGATCAAAACCTTACTATGTGAATCTCTAGTATTATCCCATTTAAACTACTGCGATACACTTTATGATGCTTGTATACTATAAAGGATAGTAAGAGAATACAAACATTGCAAAACTCCTGCGTGCGTCTCATATTTGGTATGAAAAAATTTAATAGCTGTGGAGATCAAATTAAAGAAATTAAATGGCTGACTATGAAGGATAGGCGAGAGTTACACAAAGCCTGTTTATTCCACAGTATAATATTGTTTAAAACCCCTGCTTACCTGTACAATAAAATTTCATACCGAACGGACGTACATAATGTGAATATTAGGTTCAAAGGAAGCCTATCAATTATTAAACACAGAACGTCCCTTTTTAAAAGATCTTTCAGTTATCAAATTGCCAATCTTTATAATAGTCTTCCGAGTTCGCTTACATCGCTTCATATGAAACCGTTTAAAAGAATATTCAAGCAAACATTAAACTGTCGTTCTAGGAGATAATGCCAAGTTTCGTTTGGTTCCAGTTTTATTTTATTTACTCTTAATAGCATTTTTCTTTATTCCCACTGTGTGTTTCTGTATTGTTCTTCATACTTTTTCTTTCATCCTCTCGCCAGGGCATATTATACGTAATTTACATTGTCTAAGTAAACCTTGCAACTTGTCATCTTTTTCTTTTCTTTTTGGTTGTTGTTTTCGTGGTTAGGTGGAAGATCAGCAAGAGGAGCTGTCTCCCAATGCTGAACCTCGCCTCTTTACCTTAATTGAAATTTTTGTTTTACATTTTGTTTTACATTTACTTTATATATTTATGCAAGGTAATGAAATAAAGGCATTTATTATTATTATTATTATTCCATACATAATGGGCACCCTGTATAAGAAAAAGGTTTCCCGCGGTCGATTTCGGACAATTCGCTGTAACCCAAAGTTGATTTTCTTTTAATGGGAATTATAGTTTGTCATAGTTCTGAAAATTGCTTGTTTAACGAGCTTTCCGAAAATGTATATGCTTATTAATACATCTTGCCTGAAAATAAATAACAAAAAATGTAGTTAAACACTTAAAAACTGTTTCAAACGCTCTTTCAACATTTTGCGGTAATTCTTCCTCTTCCTCAGTTCCTCAGAAGGATATTTTCAAAATTTAGTTTTCAAAAAACCCCACAAACAGAAATTCAATGGGTTTGAATCGGGCGAACGTGCTGGACTTTTAATTGGTCCCTGCGTCCCTATCCAATTAGCTGATACGTTTACATTTTAAATAATTTTGAACAATTAACGCATTTTGAACTGGGGCACCGTCTTGCTGAAAAATAACCATTCATTAATCGGCCTGTGATCAATATTTGATTTATTAATGTATATATGTACTTGTTAGCTAACACACCGGGTGAATATTCCAAAACCGAACATAGGGAATTAACATGGTAAAAAGGTTTTTTGCAGATCGTTAATCTCCATGTTAACTTAGAGGGTTCATAGTGACACCATAATCGAAAGGTTTTTTTCTCATCTAACGAATTAATTCATTTTCGGTTGTATTTCTCATTATTTTATCAAAAATTCGGCAATAAATCCAATTACCAAAATCATGTTAACATGTTTGACACATTTTGGTCGCGTAGACCGGCAAAAATGTTCCTGGACCCGTTTCGGTCCAGGAAAGTTCGTTGTTTAGCAACTGGCTAAAGGACTGGATTGGTGTATTTTGAGGTCTGAATCTGCTTCGAGAAGGTAGGCATTCCTGAGCGATTTCAGAAAAACGTTTTTTTACATGTAATGTGTTTTGTACTTGTTCTTATAGATATGGAAAAGGGTCTTGCAATAGTATTTTCAAGAAAAAGGAGATCATTACCTCCCTAACTGGAAACGACGTTTAGTACCAAAAGTTAGGCAATACCGGGAAGGGAGAAATGTATAGGAAGTTGAATTTTCTATAGCTGAGACTTGAATGCTAGACATACTGCAAGCAAAGTATGGAAGAAAAAACACCACATTTAAAAGGAAAGACCCTCGTCCGATATTTGAGCAATCCTTAAGAAATGAGACTGTTAAAAATTGGCAGAATGCAATAATTCGGCATGAAGGCAAAGTGTGGCAAATTGATATTTTAATAAACATCGTAGTAGAGCCACTGATAAATAATCAACGTGGGAGATGACTTGACATCAACAGAATTGGAGTCAGATTAAACGTAACATTTCTCTCTCTTAAGCTGCAGCCCGTCTGAGCTTCGCTGAAGGATATGCATTTTTCAACAGGATTGTAGAGTATCAACAGAAATTATACTGGTACCAAATATTGTTTGCCGAATCATTCTCGAGTTATTAATAAAATAATAAAATGTCTAC